AAAAAAAAAAAAAAAAGAAAAGAAAACCTTAAGCTAAATCATTATACTTTAAGGGGCATTGGCTAAATTCTGAAGGAACTGGCATTAAAACAGAACTTAGTTTTGGGGCGCATGGCTGGCTCAGTCAGTAGAACACATGACTCTTGATCTCTGGGTTGTAAGTTTGAGCCCCACATTGGATACAGAGATTACTTAAAAATAAAATCTTAAAAAAAAAAATAGAACTTAGTTTTTTCAGGCTTTTAAAGATTTTCATGCGTTGTGTACCTAAAGTTTTTGGTCTCTTGATATTGACTCCTACCTCCTCCTTCTCCTTAGTATAAGAAAAACCTTCTTAGTGTAAGGAAAGCCTAGTTTAACAGTCCTGGAAATTGTGCATTTAGGGTAAACCATAATATTTTATCTAATTCTGCTATACCAAATACCACTATTTGGGGTTCTCATTTGTAAATTATTCAAAGCCTAATGTTTCTCATCAATTTATCACCAATCATCAATTTATACAATATCACAAGGATAAAGGAGATCAATTCAGGTGTTGGCAACGTTTCATGAAAGCACCAAGGTGGGGAGGGGTGGGTAGAGTGACCAACCAGATTAGTACAACCACCTTTCATATAGTTTTTCGTTAAAAAAAGAGTCAAATTGCTTTCAATTTTCTGTGAAGATGGCAGGATATTAAGATGTGCAAGCAAACTGCTTCTTTCATATCCTCTTAAGGTATTAGTATTTTCTGAAAGATAATTTGCTATAGGACCCACAGAGGAGCACCTTTCACATTAGATGATATGTAAACAAACTTTCTGCCAAGAAAATAAAGGGAAGGGGGGCGGGTAGTAATTCAAGCTATAATGTCCACCCAGAATCCTAGAAGGGAAAAATAAAGCCATTGAAATAAAGTCAATTCAGTGATATCCGGAAGGTCAGCAGTATTTCCATAATACTCACTATGGCACAGAAACAAAGTCTTGAGTGAGCAAATACTTAGGCTGCTAGAAAGACAGCCACTGTGAAGCACAGACTAACCTGGAGAGTTAGGAGTCTGGATTCAGTCTCTGCTTTCTGTTCAACACTTCTAAAATGCTTTCTGCTTTCCTGTTGCTGTTTTCACAGCAGAAACAAGGGTCTCTGAAGAACTGGCCACAGCATTACAAACCATCCAGTGGTGCCCATGTTTCTCCACTGAGGTGTTGGACAACTTTCTTCAAGTGACTACAACTGCTCATTCAGCAAGCTGCTGAAAAGGACCCCAGCGCCAGTAGTGGGGGGGGCGGGGGGGGAGGGTCTCCACATCTTATCTGACTGTGATACACAGAAACTCAGTTGCATCACACCTAGCTGCACTGTCAAGAAGCTGTGCCTTTGTTGCCATATATAAATTCTTTACACAGAAGTGTAACTTGAATGAAAAGTACAAAAAGACAATGGTGTGAAACAAATGAACTCATTAAAAAAATGTAAGATGGCTGATAGCCTAGGTATCTACACTGAAATGTAGCCAGAAGTCAGAATCTTGTGGCAAAAGAACAGTCTTATGGGCTGTGTGTTGGAACGGCTTAGATTTAGATTTTCTTAAGGCACAGCCAAAGTTCTTTAGATTTGTTTTGGCAAGTGTTTTTCTTGCTGGAAGATCATAAAAGTAGGCAGAATTATCTGCCTAATGGCATGCTGGCATGCTAAGGTAAGGAAAATAGTACTTCGACTAAAACTAAGGCTAGTAGGTGAAGAAAAATGACAAAATTTGTATTGGTTTTAAATTTGTACCAAGGAGACTTACTGGATACTGGAGAAATGACAGGAGTGTTTCATATCTTTGCATAAGAAAAAAAAAAGATTTTCCTTTTGAAGTTGTAGCTTCAGGATTTAATCTGTGTCAATGTCACCATGTGGTAAAAACAATCTGGATTTTATAATGCATGAGCAGGAAAAAGTTGCAAAAATGCTAAATGGTATGGAGCTACAAATATGGTGATACATCAGCAAAGGGGTGAAATCGGGTTTTTACTCCAGACAGGTGTTACGTTTGTGAAAAGTGATTCAATTTGTTATACATTCAAACCCAAATTAGAACTAGCTGCCTTACAATGGTATTTCACTGCCATTTCTTAGCACTTTAATTTTGGTGAGTTCTGTTACAAGTTCAAGGAAGTTAGAGCTGTTCTCAACTCTTATATCTAGTTCCTTCAAAAAATGAAGGGGCAGATATTCTAATAAGCTTTAGATAAATAGGATCCTGATCATTTTAGCTCTAGTTAACCTGAAACATTTCCCTGGGCATAATCACAGTCTCTCTGAGAACTGGAAAAAAATGGCATAATTTAAAAAGTACCAACATTCACTGGTAACTTCAAATAAGTTAGGTGAAGAGGATGGAATATGGGGGGTAGGCCAGACCACCAATCATGTTTGCCTAGCCATAAAACCAGTGACAACTTAAAGATCTGCAAAGATCAAAGAAAACTGAGAAACCACCCTTAACTGGCTGGAGCTATAACATTCTACAGGGGTCCTCGTGGTCTTCATAACTATTACAAGGTGACCCACCCACTCTGATTGGCTGTGCTGCACAGAAACCCCAGAGCCCACTGCAAATCTGGGATACGGCAAATATGGAACCTAGTAGCAGGCTGGAGCTTGCTTATGACATACTGACTAGCACAAAGGCAGACAATGAAGAACTATCAGAATCCCACAGACAGCTCTTTTTCACCTTGGAAAACCATTCATGAGGTTACTATGACAAGAATATAAATCAAGGCTGACACCGCTAAGTGCTGGTTCCACAGCTGGCCATCTGGATATGGGGTTTTGCCAATACTCAGCTGTTTTGATTATTTAATCAAATATTAAGCAAAGTATAATTCACATGCAACCCTTATCAAAAAAGAGAAAAAGGTTAATTTCCTATGATCCGCACAAACTGTTAACCTGTTAGGAAAAGCCTCATGTTTCCAGCATTCAAGTGTATACACACACATCATGTCTGTTTCTTTTTAAACATCTTAGGGTGAGGGTGAGGAGGAGAAGAACAATGAGATAAAGACACAAGCTAAACATCCAACAAGCCCCATTCCTTATTCTCTGTGTGACCGGCAGCATTACTCAGAAAGTCACTCCTTTACTCCGATGGTCATAATATATTTGAATGTGTAGATCTTTAAGGATTTGCTTATTCATTTGGCCAGGTCTATGGTAGGTGCTTTTTTGTTTTCTTGGTGGAATAATTCATCAGTGCTTCCTGAGAGGCTCAAACAGGATCACTGGCCAGATTCCGAAGAGAAACTGTTTGGAAACAAGTTAGGACAAAATGAAAGAAGGTAACTGCTGCCTGTTATCCCTGAAAAAGAACCAATGAGCTAGGTGTGCTAACAACTACCCTGGTATTAGTAGCCTGAGTATGGCATAGTCTTTCCAGACTTGCACCAGATCTCAGAAATTATTTTTATTTAATTTACTTAAATGGATTAAGCTTCTATTTTGTCAGGCATGGAGCTGGGCATTTTAATCATCTCAGATTCTGGGGTGCCCGGGTGGCTCAGTCGTTAAGCGCCTGCCTTCAGCTCAGGT